GGAGGCGCAACTGCCTTACCCCGGGGCCCAACTGTATCGAGTTGGCTTCAGCCTCTGGGCCCCGGTCACAGGCTGAAGGGAGGCCGCCCACACACTGCACTGGCATATAGGCAAGCAGGGCGAGGCAGCGGGGATCTTGGCCAATGCTGGCATATGCGGGCACGCTGCGCAGATGCAAGTGTGCTGCGCTAATGCAGAGCAGCGCTGCGCTAAGAAGAAGCAGGGCAGCGCTAGGCGGTAGGGCGCTGCCTGCTTGCAGAGCACTGGTGGCCATAGCCGGGCCGCAAGAGGGTGCAGGGGAGGTGAGGGCGAAGGTGGTACTTCGGAGGTGAAGGGMGCTGTGTGGGTAACAAGGGAGAGTGTGGGGAAGATGACACGTACCTGGTGATGGTGGAGGTCTGCATTGGTGTTGACATCATCACTCGCTGGTAGTCAAGTTGTCTGGTTGCTGTTCATTGCTGTAGTTGTAGGATAGGCTGTAGAGTAGATAGGGCGCCTGGCGCCATTCCCAAGAGAGAGCTACATTTGGGTTATGCTGTTGGTGTTGCCCTGGTGGGCATGGACATTGACTCACGATTCTTCTGTATCATTCTCAATGGGATGGTTACTCGGTTCCATGTGCTATCTGCTTTGGCTTTGAATACTTGGACTTCAGTGTGATTTTGCATTCCGGATTTCTGTGCTTCGTCCATACTCATGTTCCTTGCATAATATTATATTTTTGATATATTACTCGTCAAACAGAACTGCCCGGTAAACCGTGGCAGAGAGGGAGTAGAGGAGAAAAAACGAGGGGTTGTGACAAACTGTTTCGTCGGAGTTTCACTGACTCATCAGGAGGAGGCTGAAACCTAACAGTCTGCAGAATCCCCTAATATACGTATATCATCAAACTGATCTGCCCAGTAATGGTAGGCAGAGAGGGAGGAGAGGACAGCAAATGAGGTGCTGTGACAGACTGTTTCGTCAAAGTTAAATCGACTCATCAGGAGGCTGAAGATATATATCTATATCTATCAGTTGTTGGGCAGTTGTTGATGCTTAAACACAACTGGGGTTAAGGTGGATTATCACTTACAGTGTAATCAGTTAGGGGATTCTGCTGCAGACTGTTTAGTGTTCAGCCGCCTGACGAGTCGGTGAAACTCCGACAAAAATTAGTCTGCCGCCGCCCCTCGTTTGTTGTCCTCTTCTCCCACCGGGCAGTTCTGTTTGACCAACTTTGACGATATATATAAAATAAATATTACATTAAGCACTTTGTTCAACCGATGCCTTTTCAGGAAAGTTTTGCAACTTCTTAACCAACAATCATATTCGGAAACGACGACTTGTACATCTTGGAGGCGAACAAAAGCAAAGGCCGTTTATTGTTTTGCCTTTTGTTTTTGCAAAGGTTGGTACAAACAACCCTTAAAAGAAAAGCAAATCTGGGACAATTTCCCAGCTTCAGTTCAGGGGGTGGGTGGAAATAATATCTAGGAACAGAAGTGGCCAATCTGCGCCCGCTGATAACTGTCCCTGGGAAAATAAATCATCGTCATCACCACCAACAGAGCCACACAAACCAAACCCCATAGGAATTGATAAGATTCTTTTTTTTTTTTTTTTTTTAACAATCATTTCGCAAAACTACGGAGCGTTTCTTTGATTTGTGTGTGTCATGATGTCATCCCTAATTTTTCAGGGCCCATGCTAATCTTCTCTGTATCTATATGATTCTTTTTCTCTTAGGTATTTGCCGAATCTTTTCTAAATAGAAAGAATATCCTTATTATGTTAATGTTCATTTGAGTTAATGTTACTTGCTGTCAATTTGAGTTTAGTCTTTGTGTTGATGGTGGAAGGCCTTCCACGATTCAGACCCCAAATTCGGATCTTAGGGTCAGATGCCCAGGTCAAGAAAAGGCCAAGTTCGTCAAACTCAGAAAAGTCACAATCGGGTACCTCAGCAGTCTGGTCCAACGGGCACCCAGCAAACAGTCACATCTCGGGGACAAGAGTCACGTCTCATAGTAAAAAGCCATTCAGAAGAGTCACATTTTGCGAGTGAAAAGACAGATTCATCAAGCAAGAGTCATGTCTCAAAGGCAGAAGTCACGTTTCCTAATGAAAAGTCATATTGCAGAATCACATCCCTCGAGTGAAGGCAGTATCACAGGCAAAAGTCGTGACCCACAGGCAGAAGTCACTATCCACAGTCAAAAGTCATGTTCACAAGTGAAAAGTCATGACTCAAAGGCCCAAGCAGCAGCCGTCCAATGGAAATTCGGGAAGGTTCCAGGCCTTGACATTTAGAAGCAGACAGGCCGAGGGGATGTGGTACCGGAACCAGTCGGGACCCAAGAAGCAGAGGTTGGCACGAGTTGGAGTGCAAACCAAGACTACAAAAGGACTGGCCAGACTCACATTCGGGGAGATTGCTCATTCGCAAGCAGAGTGGAAGTGCTGGTGCACTTGTGCACTGAAGTGAGGGCCAGAGCGCTGAAGCCAGAGTGCTGTGCTATGAGAGAGAAGAAGATAGCGCTAGCAGGGAGAAGGCAGCCATAGCTGCGCCAGCAAATAGTGTTAGTAGCAGACTTAGATAGTTAGTAGGCTAGTCAGTGGGTGTATTCAGAGTAGATTCTTGAGTAGAAGTTNGCAGGGAGAAGGCAGCCATAGCTGCGCCAGCAAATAGTGTTAGTAGCAGACTTAGATAGTTAGTAGGCTAGTCAGTGGGTGTATTCAGAGTAGATTCTTGAGTAGAAGTTGGTGTGAGTGCACGCATGTAGTGAGAGAAGACACAGCGAGGACATAGCTAGAGAGAAGACCAGTAAGGAGGGGAGATTCAAGAGGAAGAAGAGCAGTGGGAGAAGATTATTGCTCTTGTATAATTCGTCGGAATTCATAAGCTGCGCTATCTGGTCTTAATCCCTCTGGTCTCCAGTGTGAACTTCGTGTGATCCCATACATGCTTGTGGTGTGAATATGTGCACTCATTGGTGTTGATCTGTGAGGCTCATTGCAATGGGTCCATTATTTTCTTTATTTCCCTTCTTTTTTTTTTCTTTTTTTTTTTTTTTTTTTTTTTTTTTTTTTTTTTTTTTTTTTTTTTTTTTTTTTTTTTTTTTTTTTTTTTCTTCTTTTTTTTTTCTTCTTTTTTTTTTCTTCTTTTTTTTTTTAACAAATGGCCGTCTGGAAGGACAGCTCAGAATTAGCACTGAGCACACAACTGCATATGCTTAGCCGTGAAAAAGCTTTTTTTTTTTTTTTATAGCCGTGAAAAAGCTATCGATAGCTTCCGGACATACGGGACATAAGCCTCTTTAACTCCCGAATCCTAAATGTAGGAAAAAACACACTTTTTCATTTCCCCATCATTCACACAGCAATGATGGTTCCAAACGTGTCCCCGGTGACAAGCCTACGTAACTCAGTTGGTACACCCATGTTCGAACATGGGTCTGTAGTAGACTCTGTACCATACTTGCGGCGCATCGCGATGCGCTGTACTGCGCACGTGCGCCGCACCGCGCTTCCCGCACGACGCGTGCGCACTGCATGCGGCGCACCTCCGAAAATGGGGGTCAAAAAAAAAAAAAAAAAGTTGTGAGGGGCGGTAGTAGACCCGGCCCCCTGCTCGCGTAAAATAAGAAACGGCCATTCAATTTTTTTTTGGAGGCCGCGCATTGGCCTGAAAGCTTTTAGTAACCTGTAGTCCGGGTAACACTCTGTGTGACACTGTATGGTAGGGTTATTGCAGTCTGTATGGGTGGGTTCTTGCAGTCTGTATGGTAGGGTTCTTGCAGGCCAGATTCAGTCATGATGGTAGGTACCTCTCAAAACGTTCTCTTCTTATTACTTCTGAAGTAGAAAACGATGGAACTGACAGCTGTTTTTCCCGGAATTTTGTTCTTTTTAATAAAAAGAAAAAAACGTAAGGGAAGAAAATCAGAATTTCTTTGCATGAGTGTCGCCCGGCGCGTCCAACCTGTCAGAACCTCAACGGTAATGTTCACCGACGGGCTCGCTGCACAACTCTCGACATGCACAACAAGACATAGGGCCTCGCTGCACTACTCTCAACATGCACAAAAGACAAAAATATTGGCGGTGTATCTTTCCATATTCTAACGCACGATTCACTCTCGTTTTGCACATTTCCAGAGTAGTGCAGCGAGGCCCATATATGGCAATGTATCTTTCCATGTTCAAGCGGAGGATTCAGTCTCATTTGTTCAGAGATTCTCCAAAAAAAAAAAAGAAAAAGTTTCCAGAGATACGTTACGTGCTTACCTGATTCATCGGCCCTTCGTTCTCCACCCAACGTATGAATGAATCTTCCGCCAGAACATGGAAAGATACACCGCCATATTTTTTGTCCTTTGTGCATGTCGCCTCGCTTCCGGATTCATGTTGCCCGTTGATAAGGGCGGTTTCTTCGGTCCGATAGTGTCAGCACACGGTTTCTTCTCTCTCTCACACGGTTTCCTCTCTCTCTCTCTCTC